TGTGTGTGTGTGTGTGTGTGTGTGTGTGTGTGTGTGTGTGTGTGTGTGTGTGTGTGTGTGTGTGTGTGTGTGTGTGTGTGTGTGTGTGTGTGTGTGTGTGTGTGTGTGTGTGTGTGTGTGTGTGTGTGTGTGTGTGTGTGTGTGTGTGTGTGTGTGTGTGTGTGTGTGTGTGTGTGTGTGTGTGTGTGTGTGTGTGTGTGTGTGTGTGTGTGTGTGTGTGTGTGTGTGTGTGTGTGTGTGTGTGTGTGTGTGTGTGTGTGTGTGTGTGTGTGTGTGTGTGTGTGTGTGTGTGTGTGTGTGTGTGTGTGTGTGTGTGTGTGTGTGTGTGTGTGTGTGTGTGTGTGTGTGTGTGTGTGTGTGTGTGTGTGTGTGTGTGTGTGTGTGTGTGTGTGTGTGTGTGTGTGTGTGTGTGTGTGTGTGTGTGTGTGTGTGTGTGTGTGTGTGTGTGTGTGTGTGTGTGTGTGTGTGTGTGTGTGTGTGTGTGTGTGTGTGTGTGTGTGTGTGTGTGTGTGTGTGTGTGTGTGTGTGTGTGTGTGTGTGTGTGTGTGTGTGTGTGTGTGTGTGTGTGTGTGTGTGTGTGTGTGTGTGTGTGTGTGTGTGTGTGTGTGTGTGTGTGTGTGTGTGTGTGTGTGTGTGTGTGTGTGTGTGTGTGTGTGTGTGTGTGTGTGTGTGTGTGTGTGTGTGTGTGTGTGTGTGTGTGTGTGTGTGTGTGTGTGTGTGTGTGTGTGTGTGTGTGTGTGTGTGTGTGTGTGTGTGTGTGTGTGTGTGTGTGTGTGTGTGTGTGTGTGTGTGTGTGTGTGTGTGTGTGTGTGTGTGTGTGTGTGTGTGTGTGTGTGTGTGTGTGTGTGTGAGAGAGAGAGAGAGAGAGAGAGAGAGAGAGGCTAAAAAGCATGGACACTTCTAAGAAGGTGACGTGTGTCCGACACTCTTTGGACACTTCCCCAACACTTATCTGACACTCTTCAAAACGTATACTATTTTTTAATTTTTTTTAAAGACAAGGACACGCTTTGGACACTTGAAGAACACACGTGTCTACTGATTAAATACATGTGAAACTAATTATAAATTTGAACAAAATAACTTAAAATTAGTGTCATATTGTATTTTTTATTATCTTTGAATGATATATTTATATATATATAACGTATAATAAATATATAAAATTATATATTTCATGCATGTCCTCCACGTGTCATGTCCTGCATTTTTTCAAATTTGGCGTGTCGGCGTGTCCGTGTGGTGTGGCATGTCCGTGTCCATGCTTCTTGTGAGAGTACTATTGCAAGTGCTGTCATTTCTTGAAATCAATTTGATTTTACCAATGCATAAAGAAAATATTTTATTCTAATGCAAAAGGGTTAATTATACAATTCAATGCACAAGGAATACTCTGCTTAAATGGAATTTATTATTAGTTTTTTATAAGTAAAACAGTTTGTGCCTAATCCGAGGAAAACTCCGCATTGAAAATGATATGTAATTTGAAAATGATGTGCAATTTATAAGTAAAACGATATGCAATTTAAAATTGTGTTGCTGTGGGATGCTACAATAATTTAATATACCCACCTACACAAAAGCTGGCAAATTGTTTAAGTTGGGACCACTGTATTTGTTGAGAAGCTAGTGATCAAGATCAAGGCAAATGTTATACCACAAGACAAAGGAATATACCAAATGAACAAAATATATTGGGGGTGTTTGTTTGGACTTTTTTGAGCCAACTTTTGACTTCTGGCTTTTGAAAAGCTATTTTAGACTGTTTGGTTAAACTTATTCCAAATATCTTCTGATTCTAACAACTTATTTTAAGTCAAAAAAGTTGATTCTGAGAAACTGCCCGCCTTTTGCTTCTGATTATCAGCTTCTCCTATGGACATGTTAATTTACAGTTATACTCTTAAATTTTTTTATTTTTTATTTTTTTAAAAATAGAAAAAGATCCCAATGGACTGTAGAATATTATTTTTTTTTTATGAGAAATGTAGACAAGTAATGAATAACAAAAAATAAAAATTAATTGAAAAAACTATTTCATAACTTATTTAACAAACGCTACTCAGCAACTTAAATTTATAATTCAACAGTTACACCAAATAGATTAACAGCTTTTGATTAAAGTCATAATTTATAATCTGTTAAACTATAATCTATAATCTGTTTTAACAGCTACACCAAACGGGGCCATTAGCTCTTGTGACATAGTAGGGTATATACCTACATTTTGAGATCATAATGTATGGTGGATGATCTGACCATTATTGTGAATTCAAAAGTTCACAACCGTGTAGAAATAGTTGTTGCTTTACCTTGTCCCTTAATACTCCTACTTTTTTCTAAATGATAATTCCACATTGCAAATCAGACACGGTTTATGACTGCTAAACAGTGTATCCAGCATTTATCCTTTTACTATCATTTACAACAATATTTTTTTCTTGTTTTATTATCTTTTTGTCCCCCATAGCTCACAAGTTGCAACAAGAACAATAACAATGCCATACTGGTCAGTAAAGTGAGCATGAAATGATCAAATTGTCATAAAATAACGTCGTAGCACAGATACCAACATATCAGTGTCATTCCACATAGCTGTCCTCCCATCCTGTTTGTCACTAATCCAAATGCCATGCACATGCAATTAGATCCCCACCAATTTATCCCCTGGACCCATCATGGGCTATGGCTGTCCCTTAATTTCCAAATAATCTACGAACACAAATGCTTCTTCTATAGCCTCAACAGTACAACACCCATTTTTTTTAGTTCACTTTAAACAGAATGTACACAAATTGAAATTCACAGAACCCCAATTCCTCCGCCGAAGACATGATGAAAAAAACAGCATACTTCAATTGTTAAAAGACCCATTTGCTTGTTGAAACTGAAATCAATTTAGCACTCAAAGCACTAAATTCCATAAACATTGTTTGTTTGGGTTAAGCCAAGAACGCAGCAAACAACAAATTCACCAATATGATAGTTCTACACTAGGAATAAGTCCAACTTGTTTATCTTTATTTAAATTATATAATAAATACATTATTTACATATTAAATAGATATATAAACAATAGCATAAATACATTATTTATGTATTAAATAATATAAATAATTAAAAAAAAAATCTTATCAAGCCAAGCCAAGCCGAGCTCGAGTTTTATTAATATTAATGAGTCAAGCCGAGTTCGTGGCCAGTTAATAATCAAAACGAGCACGATAAACAAATGAGCCGAAGCTTGGCTTGGCTCATTTGCAGCCCTGACTGCGCAATCTGGAGTCAATTCAAACATCTTCCACATTTTTGATTAAAGCATAAAAGGTGATGATTGTAATAGCGGTGATTGTACCAAATGTTTGTTGGACAATCTTCACTGTATTTAAATTAAACTGCTAATGTACAAAGTCAACATATCAATTTATCATTCCAAATCACATGAATTATTTTTTTTAAGAAATAACTTGAGTTGATATCAATACATGCATATCAAACGCATCAACTAAAAATAATGAATTTAACAAAATAAATTAATCATGCATGATCTCATAACTTGCATCATGAGATAAAAAAGATTCTCAACCCATAAATAAAATCCAACGCGTTTTGAACTTTAAACTCTAAAAATGACAAAACATTCCTTCATTTAATCAGTTTGATTTGTACATAAATAAACTAATTATATATACATTAAAATGTTCTAACACAAAATAATTTTATTTTCTTTGTTACTAAAACTAGAAAATAATATAATTTTATTTTCCTTGTTACTAAAATTAGAAAAATAAAATACCAAAATAATTTTCTGTAACACCAAATAATATTCTGCAATTGTTAATGACACCAGCATATTACTACTAGTTGTCAAAGAAAATAGACAGTATATTACTACTATCCGTCAAATAATTTATAAATACCATTTGTATTTTTCAACCAGAATATTACTTTGAAAACACAGGAAATTAAATACAATGAAGACATCAAAAATATATGTCTTAAGATTGTCCAACAATCTTCGCTGTAATTAATTAATTCTATTGTGTACTTAACAACAAATAGAATAATAAAGAAATAAAGGAAATGAGAGAAATTTGTTTGATTACAAAAATTAAACTAGATACAGAAATAAATAAATAAAAACATATTTTATTTTGTTACAAAAACAAAATTAAAATCTGATTTAAATAAATAAATATAACAGAATAATAAATTAAACAACTTACTTGATTAATTTCTTCGAATAATAATCTGATCAAGTCCAGTATTTGACACTGTGTCCTTAAGACAAATTCGTCCTCTCCACGGTGCTTTCAGAATGTGGACGTCCATCTCCCAGGATGAAATGATTAATTACAAACAATAACAGCACTACAAATTGTTTGCCTAACGAACACACTAAGTGTTTAATTATACTTTTTCTCACAAAAAGATTAAATGCAGCAAAATGAAGAATAAATTTGCAGAGGTGAAGTATGAATTTTCTGAATGTATTAAACATCAAATGAGGGCTGTCCTATTTATAGATGTAATGATGGCTACAGGTTTTGAATTAAACAGGTGCAAACCTGTTTGAACAAGTATGAAACCTATTTGGTTTTGAATTTAAACAAATTTGAATATGTTGGGTTCAAAATTCAAACAGATAAAAAACGGGAAGGGCCCTGTTTGGGTGTACAGTAAAACCAGACCAGTTTATTTCCGAAATTAATTTGAATTTTGAATTTTATTTTACCAAAAAATAAAATAAAATTCAAATGTTTTTAACCCAAAAAGAAAGGTACTGGGCTAGACAAACCCAACCCAACCGGACGGCTGGGCGCGTGGTGATTTTTGGGTCCAATGGGTCTAGCCCATTTTGCCCATAACCTCCCTCTCTAAAACATTTGGGTACTCCTTGGGGCACACCCCAAGTTCCAATCTCATGCCTTATAAATCCATTCAAAACTTCTCACCAAATCAATGTGAGACAAGTCTTATTCAAACCTTTAAGGGTTTTTACCAAAACTCCATTTCTATGGAGCATAATTTGGTTTCAATTTCTCATTCACCCGGTAATGGTTTTGAGCAACCAAATATATCACGCGAATCACAACACGGCATAGAACGCGTTACCACTTTGACCCGCAAAAATCGACGCACGAGTCCTACATAAATATTAGACCAAAGTTAAGAAAAAATGTGTTATTTACCCAGATTTTCCAAACCATTTTCCAACAATGTTTGTGAAAGTACCTGAGTAGCCTTGATCACAGCACCTCTGGCCAAGTAGAGGGTCATGTGGCTGGTAAGATTGAAACTCTCTGTTAAATACTCCCCAGGAGGTATATATAGAAGTGTACCACCTCTCCGCCTCAGATGCTCTATCCGATAAATCGCCGCCCTAAACGCCTTCGTGTTCATTGTCACTCCATCTCCCACACCTCCAAAGTCCATAATCGATATCATATCGTTCCGATACCTCATCGGCACGATCCCAGAGCAAGTCACCACATCAGCAAGAACCCCGCAATTCAGGAACGGCGCAATAGCCGCGAAGCACAGGAAAATTGAAAAAACAAATCGATGCATTTTGAACTTCTTCTGAATTTCAAGGTCTTTTGGATAAAAATTTATATAATTATCCGAGAAAATTTTATCAGAGTGACAAAGGGAAAGCTACAAAAAATACTTTAGGAAAGGAGGAGGATGATTTTGGTGAGAAGGAAAGAATTAATTCGAAGAAAGATCTTGACGTGATTAGGTTGAGGTTTTGTCGGTGATTTGCAATTAGGTCCAAGGAGGTAGGTACAAGAAAGCCTACTTATTAATTGCTTCAAAAAAAACGTATTAAAAGTTGAAGATAAACTGCTATTACATAGATCTAGCCAAGAAGAAAGCTCCAAATAGGTCGTCAATGGTGGTTAATCTGCAACAGAAATGTCTCAAATCAAAGAGAATAATAATAATAACACAACAGATCAAAGATCACTGAAATCAAAACCAAAACATATATATAATTATAATAGTGTGATAGTGTAACAGACCTCTCAATTTGTGAGTGTTTATAATTTATAGAACAGCTTGGAAAACCGAAGGAGCTACCTGGAGCTAAGCAAAGCAGGGCTTGTCGAGAAGTGATTGTTATGGACGCGAGAGACAGAGTGAGTGGGTTTACACTTTACAGAGAGTCCGCACAGTGGTAATGTTGTTAAAGGGGAGTGATGGAGGTAGATAAGAATATGAAAAATAGTTGACAGGGTTGCTTTAATAGTGTCATTGATGATGTCACAATGGGCTCGCTGGTTGTCTATGTCTTGCTTGTTTTATTTGTTTTGTTTTGTATTATTAGTAAAAAATATTTAATAGTATGAATCATTATTGCGAGAATATTAATCTTGAGGGCTGATTTAGTTTTTAAATTTAGAAAAATAATTAAGAGCACTAAAAGTGGTGTTTTAACAATAACATCACTAATAATATGATAGTGTGCCTAGTTCACCGCCTATGCCTTATTTTTTTTTTTGTTGACATTTTCAATACATTAGTACTATTAGTAGTCTTTTTTTTAGTAGTATAAATCATTGTTGTAAGAATATTAATCTTGGGGACTGGTTTCATTTTTAAATTTGGAAAAATAATTAAGAGCACTAAAAGTGATACTCTAATAATAACATCATTAATGATGTGGCAGTGCGCCCTGATCATTGTCTATGCCTTGTTTTTCTTTTTTTCCTGTCATTCTCAGTGCATTAATATTACTAGTAGTCTTTTTTTTAATGATATGAATTATTGTTGTTAAATTTATATTTGAATAAAGAAATTTAAAAAATATTTTAAGCTAATAAATTTTTTTTAATTTTTTATTAATAAATTAATAAAAAAATTCTCCTCTCCTTTTTTATTCTCTTACGTTATTTTTTCTCCTCTCTCACGTTAAATTAATAAACACAATGGTAATTTTTAGTTAATAAATTATTAATTAATTAAATTTTTTCTCACACTTGTTTATTTAATTATAAAAAAAATTAAAAACTATAAATCAATTCAAAATTATTTTCAAAATTCACAATCAAATAAATTTTTAATTAAAACGCTTTTCAACAATTTATTTTTCAAAATACAACTAAAAATTCTTTTCACAAACTAACCAAACAGAGCTTATGGTATACCATATACTCACCTTAAACTACACAAGAAAATCTCATAATTTTATATTTTTTGAGTCATAATTAAAAAAAAATTTAAAAATCATAACTAAAATCTCAAAATAATGTCATAACTAAAGAAAAAAATTTGTGTAATTAAAGGTACATATAGTATGGGGTGTATATAATAGAATTTTCTTAAAAAATTTTGTTTTTATTTTTTTATATTTTTTTTCATTTTAATTTGTGATTTTAAGTGGACAAAATAAATAAGGAAAAATTATTTATAAGTCATATTTGGGAGACTTATGCTACATATGGTCCTACTAAAAAATTTATGTTTCCATTAATTCTGTGGGAAGTTTGTTGACACATTTACCCTCAATATTAGTTGTTAATATCATAAATAATAACAAAACCATATATAGAAAATTAAATATTACCATAGATCATATCTATATAAACGTAACGTAACGTGACACCTACAAAAACGTAACGTGACACCTATGATCTATGGTAACATGCAATTTAGGAAATTACATGTTACCATAGATCATATCTATATAAACGTAACGTAACGTGACACCTACATAAACGTAACGTGACACCTATGATTTATGGCAACATTCAATTTCCTATATAGAAAATTGAATGTTGGCATAGATCATATTTATATGAAACGTAACGTGACACCAACATAAACCAGCAACATTTTCACATTCAATTTAAAAAAATAAAAACTCATTAAGTTTGCGAAACGTAACGTGACACGTTACGTTACGTTTATGTAGGTGTCACGTTACGTTACGGTGTCACGTTACGTTACGGTATCACGTTACGTTACGTTTATGTAGGAGATTGTGGAATACATTCCTATCTAAATAGGACTTGAGACTCTATAAGAAATTACACAAGACTTAGCCTACTATAAGTGTCTGAAAAATGACTTATAAATAAGTCTCCTAATAAATAATACATAACTAACGGATAGTTCATTCATATCCATGGGACCTGGGCAAATTAAATTGCCGAATTAAGGCGGTCCCATGCACACTTTGTTATAGATTTTATTAGGCGGGAGGACATTGTTGTAAAAGGGCTATTATTATTTTATTTTATTTTATTGGTGTAATTTATGAGTTTTTTTTAATTGTAAATTATTTTGTATCCACGGTATATATGAATGAAAGAATTTTTATTTATTTATGAACGTGAATTGATCCAAAAGGAATCATTATAGTTTTTTTATTATTATTTTAAAAACACAGGATATAATGTGTAGGGACAATTATATTATACGCATCTCATATTATATATACCTTTAGATACGTTATTTTCTTCTTTAGTTATAATCAAAATTGTTCTTTAGTTGTGACATTATTTTGAAATTTTAGTTATAACTTATTTATGTTTGATTATGACTATTTAAATTTTTTTTAGTTAGACCATCTCCGACGTTACACTAAATGCATCACCAAATTCAAATTGAGAATCTAAAAAATATTTCACCAACCTTGGGATCTGGGCTACCTTTCATCATTTTACTGTGCATAACCATTGAGATAGATATTCACCAGACGACTGGCTAGACTTCCAGCTGGATGTCCCCCAGATCATCCTCTTCTTTGAACAATTCCCACAAAAATAGGTAACACAGAGTGTTGAAAAAATGGTTTGTGCAACCATGACTTTTAGCTAACTCTGAGCCTAAATTGAGATGGGCTTTAGACACCGATTGAAGTGTGTCAGGGTGGAAACACGTTCTTTGTCGGGTAGTGATTCACTTCGTATATTTGGTTGTTCAAACCATTTTCCAAGTGAATGCGAAATTGACTCCGAAAAAGGTTTCGGCAATACGGTAGTTGAACAAATTCAAATTGAATTTGTCTCTGGTTTCTTCATCAACAATGAGTTCATAAGCTCCTAAATCTTTAAAATCAATCTTCATCAACAATGAACTTATATTCCCAAATTCAATCTTCACACACCCCCACCCCCACCCCTATTTCTGATTCTTCATCAACAAAAAAATCAAACAACAATGACTTCACATGTACTCAAATCTTCAAGATCTTCAAAAACCCAAAACCAACCTTCAAGATCACCTTCCTCTTCATGGTTGAGCTGAAACTAAGAATCCTCACTTGTCTCTCTAAGCTCTCCGACAGAGACACCCACCAGATCGCCATTTAAGACCTCGAAAATATCATCTAAAACCTCTCTCCTGAAGGCATTTTGATGCTCCTCAATTGCCTCTACAAATCTACCAACGACCTAAAACCCGCCATGAAGAAAGAGTCTCACACTCAGCCCCACTACGCCACATTTGCAATTAGGTTTCCTTACTGATTTTGAATTTGAACCTTGTGAGTAACCGTACACCTTATATCTCTTGATCATTCTAGTGTTACGCAGACCCATTATTACCAATATAGGTTGACAAGTGTCTAACTATGGTTGGCAACTTGTATTAACTCCCCAAATTGCCCTTTTCATGCCACGTGTTGAATTGTGATTGGCTTATACAAATTATACAGCTAACATTACCCCCCACACTAATATACCCAATACTTGGTGATATTAGTGAATCAAAGCACTTTACCCACATCCTAGGATATGCATGGGTTTTGTATCTTCTTAGAACTGCAACCGACTGCGTTAAATTCTTTTTTACACCTTGAATATTTCCTACTATCTGAGCATTTGAAAAGACTAATACAGTTCGCATGGCCAAACAAACCTTCTCTGACATAGATCAAGCATACAAAGAGTTATTAAATAATGATGTTCGCCCTCGAAAGAATTTTCATGCATTTATTAGCCACACCTATCCATCTCCATTTATTTAAGTCATGGAAGCTTTTGCAAATCATCGACCTTTGGATCAAGAATCTATTGTTCACAATTCTTTAGTCCAAGACTTTGCAAAAATGGATATTAGAAGCTCTTCTTCTGTCATAAAATCTTCTGCGTGGAATGAGGCTGCGGCTTTCTCTTCTTCTTCTAAAGCTTCTGGCTAGAGAAGTTGGCCAGAACTTGATGAATCCAAGCTAAGAGAGAGAATTAACCATCGATTTGTCAAATTCACTGATCCTCTGTCTTTCCCTCTTTTTGCTCAGAGCTCGGTGGTTTACCCTTATGTACCCATCGATCGCCAATGCAGTTTGGAAGACAACTTACTTATAGCATGGTACACATCTTCCACGCCTACGAAGGTAGTGCGAGCCACTCCTCGTCTAGAGGAAGCACAAGGATACAACCCATCATTCTTAGCACAGAGGGCAAAATTTTATTCTTCTGACTGGCTTGAATGTGTAAATAACCCCCAGCTCCCTTCTTCCTTTGGGATAGATCCTTCTGTGCCTCCTCTTCCTCAAAACCCTCATTGGATGAAAGAACTGAGACTTACTCTATTTGAGAATCAGTTTCTTCCTTCCTACCAACCTCCAGCTCTCCCCACTATATTTGAGCAATATCAAGCTCAACTTCTGCTAGCAGCCTTTTCTTACTTGCCCTTCAATGTTCTTCGAGGTGATATTCCTCTTAAGAACTTTTGATGGGCTTGTGACATTATGACTCAGGGTCATGTCTTCAACCCCATTGCTCAAGCAGAACTTCAGATGTTTTTGGATCAACTCCCACTGCTTCTTCATTGGAACCAAACTTCTTTGGTTACCTCTCAATCTTTGGACAAAATCTCAGCCCATCGAATTGACACCCAGTATGAAGCAGAGAACCTTATCGACGAATATAATGACTTCAAGAATAAAGATTCTGCATACTGGGATGATCTAGATATGAATGAGATGGAAAATGGATTGAAGGAAACAGAGTTCGAAATAAAAGCTGAACAATTTTTTCATCAAATAAGAACATATTAGCTGCAGTAACCTAGCTTGGAGAGGATAGAGGACAAAATAAAAAAGGAACATAAATTCATTGACCACTGTTGGAACAAATTCCATGGCCTTGTTATTCTTTCTATTCCTTATTTTTTTGAAATTGAATTTGTAGCCAAGAAGATTTTCTAATGTAATTACTTTCATATTAATAAAGCTAGGTTTTCCTTTCTTTATTCGGCATGGTCCGATTTTAT